CAGAAAATTTGGCACTGCTGTGAATAGTGTAGTCGCAAAGGGAAGATGCACGGGTAAAACGTAGGGCTCAAACAGTCACGGTTTTACCCCTAACTGTTAACTCCTAAGCTAACGGTCGGTTTAACGGTTATAACCTATAAGCCACGGCAATCCTGCGGACTCTTTTTTAACCGTATATTTGACTATAGTCATTCAAAAAATGTACCCTATTCAGTACAACGCACACAATCTTGTACATTCTCTTGCATGCTCATTCATACCTACTCTCACACCAAGAGACCAGATATGACCGAGTTGACAGCCCAGAAATTGCGTATGCGTGTGACAGCCTGCGAAAGTGCATACTTTGCAACGACCTGATACTTGAAAAATCGGCTGAAAAGTTACTGCGTAACCGTTATCTTTATCGGTTATCCGCTAATTCTTCGTAACCGGTCGTAATTTGGCACTGCTGTGAATAGCTTAGTCGCAAAGTGAAGATTCACGGGTAAAAAAGCCCCAAACTGTGAGATAGGGTATTTTTCAGCTTTCAGCAGCCCTGGGCGAGTTCTTTCGAAAAATGTGGCTCTTTTTCTTGGTTCACTTGTCTATGTCCAGCTACACAAGGATATGAGGATGGTCATTGTCATTTTCTGAGCTGCGAACGGGCAGAAAGGTGAGAGAATGTTGGATTTTGACCATTTGTGCTGAACTTTGAATTTCAATGTACCTCTCTATAACAAATTGCTGAATTGCAGAGTCACTGAGCTGCGATGAGAAATGATTCTTAATCTCCAAGCTTGCTTGCTTATCATTACATATGATCTTGCCCTGGCTGTCCTTAACGACGACTTTCTGCGATGGCTTTCGCCGGAGCAAGTGTACAGCTTGGAACATCTGGGCCCCATCCTTGAGCCTCTCTATCTCCTCTGCTCGCGATATTAGTTCATTTTCTCTGTTTGTGATGGATCTGTTCCTGATATCATGCAGGATTCGATTCCGGTCAGTCCTCAACATTTCTCGCTCGATTGGGTCATCACTGCCCTGAATACGGAGTCGGACATCTCTCTGCATGCAGGAAAGTCTCTCGATCTCTGGGTCATGGTGACGATGACTGGTCTTGGCTGTCACACCCACAATCTCTTTGCCCGCGTGGAAGATCTCTGCAGCTATTGCATCCCATCCGGTGTTGGGCTGATCTTCTGACACCCTCTGAATTCTGTCTGAGATGGCAAATGTTAGCTGATTCTGCAGTTGTGGATTCCCGGGTAAACGATGCACTGCTAGGCGATCCACCTTCTTCTGGCTGCTCCGCGCCGCCCGACCCCATATGCCGAATACTCGAGGTAAAAGCGTGCGAGCCACCACAATCCTATGATCTGATGTGACTTCCGTTCCATTGTAACTTCTGGCGTTGGTGAATAGTCTCTTTTGCGATTGACGGCACAGAATATAATCAATTTGGTTGTAAATGTTGACAATCTTGCCACTGGCTCTGTCAAGTCGCTGTCCTGTCCATGTGGTCCTGTGCCTTGCAGAGTGGCAGAACGCTGTGTTTGATAAGAATAATCTGTTAATTTCACAGAACTGCACTAGCGTCTCTCCGCTGACGTTTCTGATTCCACGCCCATGGCTGCCAATACATATTCAGCAATTTGGATCCTTCACTGGGGAACCTCGACCGCTGCAGCATCCCGTTTCAACGGAGGAAGTGAAAACAGCACTAGCAAGACTCAACAACGGTAGAGCTGCAGGACCCGACAACATCCCGGGTGAGCTGTTGAAGTACTCAGCCGATGCCACTGCTCCCGTCATAAGCCGATGCATCAACAGCCTATTTCAGCAACACCGGGTAGAGCCATTCATCGGTCATGGCACACTAATACCTCTCCAGAAGCCCGGAAAGCCGGTGGGTGCTTTAACCAGTCTGCGACCGATCATCCTCCTGACAACTCTACGCAAAGTCATGTCGCTGGTAGTCCTCAAGCGCATCTCGCCAGCCGTAAACGATTTCCTATCACTGAACCAAAGTGGTTTTCGTGCAGGAAGGTCAACAGCTGATGTGGTCTGGTGCCATCGGTGGTTAGCAGCTACGACCCAGCGGTACCACTGGTCATTCAGCATACTGGGCATCGACATGTCACGTGCCTTTGACACGATCAGGCGAGGACAGTTGATGGACGTGGTTCAGCGATTCTTGGAAGAAGACGAGGTACGCTTGATCCGTTACCTGATCTCAGATACGAATTTGGCAGTCAGACTGGGCACGGAAACATCAAGCTCTTTCTCCACTAACATTGGTACCCCGCAAGGCGACTCCTTGTCGCCAATTCTATTCGTGATCTACCTGGAAGCTGCCCTGCAGGATGTGCGACAGCGAATGGCTGCACCTGTGGCCCGGCATCTTCCGTACGATGTGGAGTACGCCGATGATGTGGACTTCATCAGTATCTCTAGTGATTGGCTTCGGATGTTAGAGCCACAAGTTGCCACCATCTTGGGTACATGGTCCCTTACCGTCAACCAGACCAAGACAGAATTCACAGCCATCCAGCGAGAGGCCGATCGTGCTGATGAGCCATGGCGTATGGTCAAGAAACTCGGCTCTCTCCTTGGTGATGCAGAGGATGTCACCCGCAGAAAGCAGCTTGCGGCGATAGCGTTTAAGTCCCTCTGCCAGTTATGGAAGAGAAGAGACCAAGTGAGTCTGGAGGTGCGCGTCCGGCTGTATAACTGCTTCGTGTTACCTGTCTTGCTTTACAACTGCTCCACATGGGGCATCACTCGACAGACAATTGAAGCGCTGGAATCGTATCATCGGCGGCAACTTCGGCATATCTTGGGTATCAGGTGGCCCAACCGACTGTCGAACGATTTGGTTTACGAGCGCTGCAGTGCTGCTCCACTTGGCAACATTCTGGTGAATGCAAGATGGCGGTTGTTTGGCCACATCCTGCGATCAGATGAGCACACACCGGCAAGGGAGGCCATGAGTGGATTCTTTGGCTGCTCCGTGCCGGGATACCGTGGGCGGCCGCGGATCACGCTACCAGTCCTGCTGAATCAAGACGCGGAGCGAGTCGGCTGCCGTCTGAGGACTCCAGGGGACTTGCAGCTGATGGCTCAGCGAGCACTGGATCGCCGTGAATGGACATATCTGTGCAACGCAGTTACAGATGCGTACAAGGCAGAGTACTGGTGAAGGAAGTTGGCACTGCAATGGTTTGAGCTACATTCTTTGTTGTTGGTACTCTGATTATCCGTATTATCCGTATTCACATGGCCTTTGCCATTCATTCAGTATATTAATGTCATCAATAATGATATTCTTGTTTGTATTAGTTTATGTGACACCATTTTCTATTTTTCTTTGCCTGCCTGCCTGCTGGTGGCCTTTTTTCGCATGGTTCGGTGCAAGCGAATTTGGGCGAGCCCATTGACGCGGGAGCACAAATAATAATAATAATAATCTCTATAGCATGACCCAGCTGTAATGTCAGTAGTCGCATTGGTTTGATTCTTGGTTTGCTTGTATGGCGCTGGCACCGACACTCAGTGACCCAGAAAATTTGGCACTGCTGCGAATAGTTCAGTCGCAAAATGAAGATTCACCTGCAAAAAGCCCCAAACTGTGAGATAGGACGTTTTCCAGCTTTCAGCAGCCCTGGGCGAGTTCTTTAGAGAAATGCGGCTCTTTTTATTGGTGCACTTGTCAATGTCCAGCTTCATAAGGAGATGAGGATGGTCATTGTCATTTTCTGAGCTGTGAACGGGGAGAAAGGTGAGAAAATGTCGGATTTTGACCATTTGTGCTGAACTTTGAATATCAATGTACCTCTCTATAACATGACCCAGCTGTAATGTCAGTAGTCGAATTGGTTTTATTTTTGGTTTCCTTGTAGGGCGTTGCCACCCACATTCAGTGACCTAGAAAATTTGGCACTGCTGTGAATAGTTTAGTCGCAAATTGAAAATTCACCGGTAAAAAGCCCCAAACTGTGAGATAGGGTATTTTTCAGCTTTCAGCAGCCCTGGGCGAGTTCTTTCGAAAAATGTGGCTCTTTTTCTTGGTTCATGTTATAGATTGATTTATCGCCTTCTTAGTATTTGACCCCACTAATTTCCCTGATACCTAAGCGGTCAAATATATCGCGTATTTGACTGCTTAGTCAAATACACGATATATTTGACTACTTATATTTGACTCCTTAGAACTTCTTGGACTTAGAAATTTTCTCTCCAACTTAGAAAAAGAAATTTTTGAAGAAAGCAGAAATACACAAGATGGGATTTGAACCCACAACCTTGTGAATCTCAGTCACTCTTCCTTACCACCCAGCCACTGTGCTACCGATGCTGAACCTAGTTTAAACAATGATCTTGACTTTCAATGCAGTACAATGCGGTATAGGCTATAGTATAATACTAGAATTACAACGATATGTCGTATATGAAGAGAAACTATTGCGTGGAGAACACGATAAATAGATTATAGACCTCATAGTTGGTCTATACAGGATATATAGACCTCGTAAAAGACCTCGGGGGACCTCGGTCTTTTACTCGGTCTATATATCCTGTATAGACCTCCTAACCGGTCTATAATCTATACCTATTATTAATATTAGTCGTACGATCTACGGTCTACGTTCTGCTACGTGTGTCGTTCTGCGTGTGTTTCTACGTGTGTCGTTCTACGTTCCTTTGATGCATGCATGACGAAGAGTGACAATGTCTTACCTCATTATGAATCAGTCTTCTTCTGCATTACGTCTGCATGGCTGACGTGTGTCTTACTTTGGTAGGAACTGACGAGTCCTATACTGTCGTGTCATAGCGCCATCAGTGCCACGACAGCACTGACGTGTCTCTGCTGCTTATCTCTCCATGATTGCCATTTTACATGTTCACTTCTAAATTATCCTAGAACAAACCAGATGGTGTTTCCTGCTGTGGTACACGCGAGTTGCATGGAATGAATCTTGCGTGCGTACGTTATAACAGTTCACTTGTCTATGTCCAGCTACACAACGAGATGAGGATGGTCATTGTCATTTTCTGAGCGGCGAACGGGCAGAAAGGTGAGAAAATGTCCTATTTTGACCATTTTGACCTGCCCTGGGCGAGTTCTTTAGAGAAATGTGGCTTTTTTTCTTGGTTCACTTGTCTATGTCAAGCTACACAAGGTCTCTTTTTCTTGCTTCACTTGTCTATGTCCAGGTACACAAGGAGATGAGGATGGTCATTGTCATTTTCTGAACTGCGAACGGGCAGAAAGGTGAGAAAATGTCGGATTTTGACCATTTGTGCTGAACTTTGAATTTCAATGTACCTCTCTATAACATGACCCAGCTGTAATGTCAGTAGTCGCATTGGTTACACTTTTGGTTTGCTTGTAGGACGCTAGCATCCACATTCAGTGACCCAGAATATTTAGCACTGTTGCAAATAGTTCAGTCCCAAATTGAAGATTCACGGGTAAAAAGCCCCAAACGGTGGGATAGGGTATTTTTCAGCTTTCAGCAGCCCTGGGCGAGTTCTTTCGAAAATGTGGCTCTTTTTCTTGGTTCACTTGTCTATGTCCAGGTACACAAGGAGATGAGGATGGTCATTGTCATTTTCTGAGCTGCGAACGGGCAGAAAATTGAGAAAATGTCGGATTTTGACCATTTGTGCTGACCTTTGAATTTCAATGTACCTCTCAATAACATGACCCAGCTGTAATGTCAGTAGTCGCATTGGTTTTTTTTTTGGTTTGCTTGTAGGGCGCTGGCACTCACATTCAGTGACCCAGAAAATTTGGCGCTGCTGTGAATAGTTTAGTCGCAAAGTGAAGATTCACGGGTAAAAAGCCCCAAACTGTGAGATAGGTATTCAGTCACACAAACACCAATGAACACCAGCTGCGCAAGGACATACCCAGTAATGAAGCTCCTGCTGACAAATGCTTTTGGGCTGCTGTCAAAGTTTGGAGCCTTCCAGCATGCTGTTGTACGGAGCAGATCTGACATCGCCATCGTAACAGAGACTAAACTCACCCCGGAGAAAGCCTCACTATCTGACTCCTCCATGCCGGGCTTCCACCCACCCCTCCGACTTGACCGATCTGCTCAAGGTGGCGGAGTTGCAGTCTGGGTCAGGGACTCCCTCTCCTTTGACCACCTGAGTGACATCAACTGCCATGGCCATGAGGTCATCTGGCTTCGCCTGCACCTGGACAATGGCCAGAAAGTAGTTGTATGTGCAGTGTACCGACCCGGGTCGTGCCCTGGACAAGATGTCTCTCTGCTTGAGTATCTTGACTCAGTGATGGATCAAGCTCGATCCCTCGGGAACAGCGTCGTGATAGCCGGGGATTTAAATGTTCATAATGAAAGCCGGCTATGCAGCACGAAGACTACACCGGCTGGTGAATACATGGAAGAACTCTCTGCGTTCCACGGGCTCCACCAGCACGTTACGCAACCGACACGTGGTGTCGGTTGCGTAACCCTGGACCTCATACTCAGCGACTTCTCGGAGACCTCAGTGGTGGTAAATGTACTGGACCCCATTGGAGCATCAGACCATGCCACCGTTGTGGCCACTTTTGATGCCACCCCACTCCGCGAACCACCGACTAAACGGCGCGTTTGGAGGTATGCTCAGGCAGACTGGGGCCGGCTTCGGCACTTCTACTCAACAGCAAACTGGGATATATCAGAAGACCCCGAGGCGTCGTGCAGATCAGTAACCGCTGTTGTCATGGAAGGCATGAATCGCTTCATTCCACACAAAGAACTTTCGACGAAACCAACAGATCCATCCTGGTGGACGCCGGAATGCTCAGCCGCTACCCAGGCAAAGAAGAATGCATGGAACCGTCTCAGGAGACACCCTACCTGCCACCAGCATCTCATTGACTACAATGCCAAAGTCCGAGCCTCTGCCAATTGCCTTCGTTTCGCAAAGCAGGCAGAATCTGCCAGCATCCGAGATCGGCTCAAACATGGATCACTGCGAAACAAGCAATGGTGGTCACTCCTGAAGCAAGCTGCAGGCTCTGGCCGCAGCTCGTCTATCCCTGTCCTACGCAATGCCCAGGGTAGAGAATATGTCACCAACCAGGAAAAGGCTACTTGCTTTGGAGAATTCTTTGCGAGCAAATGCAGTCTGGGTGATCAAGATCTACAGCACTCCGACCTTCCTGACCTTCCTCCTAGGTGTACATCTGCCCTGACAACTGTCCGATTTCGGGAAGCGACAGTCCAGCGCCAGCTCCGCCAGCTGGATCCAACCAAGGCTACCGGACCCGATGGCATCCCTGCCAGAGTTCTGAAGCAGTGCTCAAAAGTTTTGGCTGCACCACTTGCCAAGCTGTTCTCACTCTGTTTTCGGTGTCATGTCCAGCCCTCTCTCTGGAAAGTAGCCAGTGTGGTCCCGATACACAAGAAGCAATCTCATTCTGCTGTTAAGAACTACCGACCTGTGTCCTTGTTATCTGTTGTCTCCAAAGTCATGGAGAAGATTGTCAACACTGCCATAATCAATCATCTTGAGCATGAAAAGGCTCTGTCCATCCACCAGTACGGATTCCGGCAGGGGCTCAGCACATCTGACCTTCTCACGTCTCTCAACCACTCCTGGGTCTCCGAAGTCAACCGTGGTGGCGCAGTCCGAGTGCTGGCTGTCGACATAGCAGGAGCATTCGACAAAGTTTCACACCGAGGCGTGCTCCACAAGGCTGCGTCATATGGCATCACTGGTCCCCTCCTCAACTGGCTGTCTGACTACCTGTATGACAGGAAGTTGCAGGCAGTAGTCGGCGGAGCATCTTCAGAACCATACAAGATTGATGCTGGGGTCCCACAAGGGAGCATCCTTGGGCCCACACTGTTTTTGCTGTACGTGAATGACGCCTGCGACGTCCTACCGGAAGGGATCACTCCGGCTGTTTACGCAGATGACACCACGCTTTATGCCCACATCCCAACGCCACATGCTGTGACAGAAGTGTGCCGCAACCTCCAAGCTGGTGTGGATGCATTTGCTGAATGGGGTGCTCAGTGGCGCGTCACTTTTGAGCCAACGAAATCACAGGCCATGACTGTGTCCCGCCACCGCAGACCCTGGGAGACACCACCCATCAAGTTCAACGGCACAGCGGTCCCAGAATGCTCGCGGCTGAAGCTCCTTGGAGTGACGTTTGATGCCCATCTAACATACTCGGAGCATCTTCGAGGAACTGCAGTGCGTGCCACACAGCGAATTGGTTTCTTCCGGAAGGCATGCCATGTCCTGGACCCACCGGGCCGGGCCACAGCATACCGGGGGTTCATTCGGCCTCTAATGGAGTACTGTCCACTTGTATGGATGGGAGCTGCGGCTACCCATCTCTCACAGCTGGACCGAGTCCAGCATCGTGCCCTCACCCTGATTGGGACAGGGGCTGCAATGGACACTCTGTCCCTGCGGCGCCGTGTGGCCGGCCTCACAACTCTGTACAAGCTCCATTACATCGCAAGCCCGCCAGCTCTTGCAGCGACACGCCCAGCCAGAGCCATCGCACCCGCCATCGCGCCTGCCACACGTCGCCGCTCGGCAGCCAACCTTGCGCACGAGCTTCAACTCCAGACAGTCCTGCCTGCCAGATCGTGCAATGTTGCGCTGCGCTTTTTCCCGGAGTGCCTCATCGAAGCCTGGAATGAACTGCCAGCCACTCTCCTCCGCGATGCACCGTCTGCCAACGGGATGCAGCAGTTCAAGGTTCAGACCTACCGCTACCTGAAACGGTCGGGTTGGTCATTGGCCACGGACATCGCCCCCTAGGCTACTGCCAGTACGACCCTGTTCATGTTCTCGGAGCACTCCCTTCTCATCAAACTCCCAAACCATCTGTCTATATCTCTCTCTAACTCTCCTCTTATCTTTCGTCAAATCTGCACGGCAATCAGCCTCTACTTTCGCCTCAGCATCATGATCTTGATACTGCTATATTTGTACTTGTTTGCGTACTTGTTTGCACTCATATCTTGGAATAACAAGTTTCCTGGTTTCCTACCCCCCCCCCTCCTCTCTTTCCTACCCTTAGAGTTCTTCCTCTCCTGCTCCCCTCCCCGCCCTTCCACTCCCCATTTTGTTTCCTTTGGTGCACATGTGCAGCTGTGATGCCGAGACCCTTGGTCGGCTGAGCTTCACAGGTCCCACCCACTCCGTCCTGCTGGATATGTACCATTGTGTCGAGTTCTTCTCCTCATTTTAGTTCATCATGCAGTGAGTGTTCAATAGTAAAAAAAAAAAAAAAAAAAAGGTTATTTTTCAGCTTTCAGCAGCCCTGGGAGAGTTCTTTAGAGAAATGTGGCTGTTTTTCTTGTTGCACTTGTCTATGTCTAGCTACACAAGGAGATGAGGGTGGTCATTGTCCTTTTCTGAGCTACGAACGGGCAGAAAGGTGAGAAAATGGCGGATTTTGACCATTTGTGCTGACCTTTGAATTTCAATGTACCTCTCTATAACATGACCCAGCTGTAATGTCAGTGGTCGCATTGATGTGATTTTTGGTTTGCCTGTAGGGCGCTGGCACCCACATGCAGTGACCCAGAAAATTTGACACTGCTGTGAATAGTTTAGTCGCAAAGTGAAGGTTCATGGGTAAAAAAGCCCCAAACTGTCAGATAGGTTATTTTTCAGCTTTCGGCAGCCCTGGGCAAGTTCTTTAGAGAAATGTGGCTGTTTCATAGCCAGCAATCGCATGTCATCACGTACATTCAAAATCAACATAATTTTGCGAATCGACCTTTTTTTCAGGATCACTTTTCAACGAGGACGAACGAAGCCTAGAGGAAGAAAATCACCCTCTCCACTTCACCATCACGATACTGACATAGATACAAGATGAAACAACTAAAAAATCCACAAGAAAACTGTACGGCCATCATCGCGCTGACTTTGGTCTGACTTTGGTCTGAGAATTTCTATCACGATCAAAAATGTATGAGGAGCACTCAAAAATAAGCCACAGACGTACCTTTATCGCTCTCTACTCCTTTTTCAAGGCACAAAAGTCGACTCTCCACTTTCAAACCAGGAACCAGACATACCA